CTTGTTAGCAAACACTGCCAAAAGTTTTCTGTGGTGATTGTATCAATTTACTCTTCACTAGTCTACGTGAATATGCTAGTTTCTTCTCATCCTTTCTAACATTGAGGTTTTTTTTAAAGAGTATTTCATTGTGGTTTTATTTCTCTGATGACAGAGTTGAGTACCTTTTCATATATGTGTCAACCATTTAGATATACTCCTTTTTGACATGTTTATGCAAATACGTATTAAATTTTTCTATTATGTTACTTTTTTAAGAAAAATAATTGATTTGGAGGAGTTCTTAATATACTTTGGTTATGAGACCTTTGTTGGATATATATGTATGTTTTTTAAAATATCTTTTCCTGCTCTGTGTAATGCATTTCTACTCTCATCATAGTGTCTTTGAGGAACAGAAGTTTGTAACTATACCTATTTATGTTAAGATGTGTGAGTATAACGGATCCAGTTTGTCAGTCTTTTGTGGCCAGTAATTTTTGTATCCAGTTTAAGAAATCTATTATCAGTTCCACTGGCATGAATATTTTCTCTTAAATTACCTCCTTTCGTCGCAAAGATGCTTTATTGCCTTGCCTTTCACATTACTGTCTTTAATCGATTCGCTATTTTTCCATGTAGTTACTCAGTTGTATCAACTCCAGTTAATGAAATGACAATTCTTTTTTCCTGGCTCTGCAGTGTTACCTTGTCATAAATTAAGAGTTTGGGTTTGTTCTGAATTCTCTGTTGTTTCATTGATCTTTTTGTTCTTGTCTTGCCTATCTTGACCTTTCGCATTTGCTTAGAACTTTAAAAATCAGCTTGTTCAGCTCAAATCCCCCACCCCCCCAACTGGATTTTGATTCAGATTATTAAATCTCTTGTTCAATTTGGGGAGAATTAGAAAGTTAACATCTTGCAACGCACGAACAGTGGTGGATCCCTTCATTTATTTTAGGTCTTTAATTTCTCTCAAATTTGTATAGTTTTATGTGAAGACGTCTTATAACATTCATTAGATTTATTCTTAGGTATTTAGTTCTTTTTGAATGCAGTTATAAAGAGCATCTTTTGAAGTTTCACTATAATTTTTTTGCTGGTATCTGGAACAAGTAAAATTTTGTGTATTGACTTTACTTTGCTAAATTCACTCATTAATTTTAATGGTGTTTATGTAGATTCTCTTGAGTTTTCTATGTACGTGGTCCTATTATAGTTTTTCTGTGTATACAGTCTATGAATAATGACAATTTTATTTCATTCTTTTTAATCTCTATACTATTTCTTTTTCTCGCCTTATTGCATGGTTGGGATCTCTCACATAGTATTTAATAGAAGTGATAACAGTAGTTTTCCCTATCTCATTCTTGAGCCTAAGGAGAAGGATTCTAATATTTGCTATTAAGAATTGTATTTGCTCTTGATTTTTTTTATAGCTAATTTGTTAAAGAAATGGCCATCTACTCCTGGTTTTTTATAATTAACTATTGATTTTCATGACATTCCTTTTCTGTGTCTGTTGATATTCATAATGTTTTTCTTCTACATTCTGTTAATGTGGAGAATCATGTCAGATAATTTTTAAATGTTAAACCAACCTTATATTTCTGGAATATAGTCATCTTGTCATGATGTATAATCTTTTATATATTGATGTTTTTGCTGATGTTTTGTTTAGAACATTTGCACCTATGTTCGTGAGAGATTAGCCTATAATTTTCTTTTCTTGAAATGACCTTTTAAGATTTGAGAAACAGGGTTATGCTGGCCTTTGAATCAAATTGAGAATTACTGTGGCTTTTTCCTCTGGAAGAACTTTTGTAAGCTTAATGCTATATTCAACCCTTGTAACACGTACTAATAAAGCCATCTGCATTTGGAATGTTCTGTGTGAGAAAGGTTTTAATTACAGAATTTGTTTATTTAATAACTATTGGAATAGTCAATTATCTACTTTTTTTGTTTGCATATGAGTTTTAGTAAGCTTTTTCCCCCCCTAGAGATTTGTTCATTTCATCTACAATTTCAGATTATTTGATATAAGCTTATTTTTAATATCCTTTTATCTTTTCAGTGTTAGTCGGATCTAAAATATCTTTTTTGTTCCTGATACTGTTAATGTATGACTTTCCTCACGTTTCTCTGATTTGTCTTGCTGGAGATTTTCTTGTTTTATTAGCCTTTTTAGAGAATAAACCTTTGGCTTTATTGATTTTTTTCAAATTGTACGTTTGTTTTTTATTTCTATGATTTCTGTTCCCATTTTTATTATTTCCCTCCTACTGGATTTTTAAACAATTTTTTGGTTCTTCATATTGTCAGGTGAGCACTTTCAGCCTTTTTTCAGTCCTAATATGTGCATTGTACCTGTCACTGTCCTTTTAAATATAGCTTTTAGCAGCATCCTACAGATTTTCATGGTACATTTCATTTATTTCATATAAATATGTATGTTTTCCTATCATTTGGCTATGTTAAGTTATGCTGTGTTCATCACAGGATCAATCTTTGTACTCACTCTTGCTTTATTTTTGAAAATTCAAGACTTCTTTATTCTTTTGCCTTTATGCTTTTGTCTTTTCTGGGAACTGCTACTATTTTCTCGCCATCCTCATAGGAGTTTTTTTTCCCCAGCTTTAAATTCTGCAGTTTGTATTTGGAAACAGAAGTTTTGTTGTTTTATAAATACACACATTGTAATACTGTATATGCTTTTTAAAACCATATATTGCCTGTCCTTTCCAAACCCCTTCCTCAAATGAAAATAATTGCTCACCTTTCTTGTCAACCTTTATGCTTATGCGACATAAATGTGGCCGGAAAACTAGACCACTTCCCTTATTTCAGTTCTTAGTATCTCACCACTGGTAAGAGTGAGGTATCTGGTCTAAATTAGAAATACTGGCAGATATTGCCAGATAGCTATTGGGGACATGAAGAAGAGTAGGAATCTCTAGTCTTTGATTACCTCCATTTACATGAGATTTTTTTTAGAAACTGCCTAAATTTTTTAGATCACCAAGGTGCTATTTAGTACAATACAGCACCTTACTACTGAACTTTTATTTCTATGCTGCTTAACCATTTAACTAGAAAGTATATTGGGCAACGAAACAATTTAATTTAAAAAACTTTATTTTTGTGACAAGAGCTGTGAAGGGCCTGAGATTTTACAGGTTTCGCAAGTGCTTGCAGAAGACACAGTATTCCTGGGTCAGAGTCAAAGGACAGAATATTACTTAGAGCAGCGGAAGTAGCCAGAGCAGCAAGAGAACCTTGAACCAAGAGAGCCTGAATCTCTTGTAGTGGGCAGTAAGCATGTCTGCCCTTTGTAGTGGGCAGTAAGCATGTCTGACCTTTGTTTGGTGAGAGACTCTCTTCCCGTATACAAACATCCTTGAAAAGATACTCTGGAACACGGACAGTTAGTGCTCCTGCTCGAAAGACAAGCAGAATTGTGAGAGAGAAGTGAAGAATTTGTCTTTTGACATTTTGGAAGGCAGAAACACCAAATGGGTATTTTTTAAGATAGCCCTAAATAAGTGACATAAATTTTAGGTAGCAGAAGGTGATGTAAGAAGTTTTCCTTAGAAAATAGTGAAATTTTTATCTATCTCCTCAGTTTCCTCTTCCGTAGCTTTTTTTCCAGTTAGCCTACTGTCTTCGAGACGTCCATGCACGTGAGAACTCACACTGATGGTTTCCTGGGAAGGAGTTCTGTGGGTTTGTTTTCTGAGTGTCTTTGTACTCGTCACCGTTTTTTGTTTTAAGTAGTCAAGGATCCCCAACCCTCTGTCGTAGAGAGTTTGTGTCTGCCTTCCTTGCATCAATGCTTGTTTCTCCATCCAAGTTCAAATAAACGAAAGCGAGTAAATTGACTGTTATGATATCATTTTAATTTAATAGAAATTCACTGAGGTGTAGCATCTTAGACACAAGACATTTAAAAATGATGGAGCTGGCAGCTGTCCCCAGGCAAGTTCAGATATTCAGACTCCGTTTCTAAGAGGTCTCTCAGACTCAGCTCTTCAAAGTGGAAGTTCATCATGCCCTGGAATACAAATACAGTACCTCACTAAAAAGATCCTAAGGCAAAGAGCAGGTATGGACTATGCTGCCCTCCAGACTGGAGGTCTTTGCCACAGATCGCAGGGCTTGAGATATGGCAGCTTAGCCATTGGGGGAGAGGGATGGGGCAGTCAGTGCTGTCAGTGTTTAAACCCCCAGCAGGTAGCAAAAACAAAGAACTTCTTAGCACCTTTTACTTGCAGGTCAGCATGGTCTATTTTAAGTTATTTTGGCTCTTTCTCGGTTTGATTTGGTGACCATCTTTTTGGCTCTTGCAGAATTTTACTATTCTCATTCTACTCTTATCTCCTCCTTTTCATTCTCTTTTCAACCACCATTTCTTCCTAGCTCTTCAAATGATGGCCTTGCCTAAGATCGAGCCTTCAGCTGTCTCCCTTTGTAGGTCTCTTCAGCTCCTGCAGTATCAGGCCTCGGGTGTAGGCACCTAACGCTGAAGTCTGATCCTGTCTTGAATTCTAAAACCACATTTCCAAACGACCAACTCAGTATTTACTTTAAGATGTTCTGCCGATACCTTAAAAAACTTGTAGCTCTGATTTGAATATATGAACTAGAAGAACAGTGGCAAAAGGCGATTATTTAAAAATTTTACCCTTTAAAAACAAATCCGCAAAATATTTTGATGAACCTTTATGGTCTTTTATGTAAATGTTATTTATAAGTTATACTTCACATTTGTAAAATATCTGTCTCTTCTTATTTCATATCAGTTTGTTAAATTTTCACTGCCAAAAGTAAGCATTGGAGTTTCACCTTCATCCCCAACATTCTTCCGTGTTCCTCCCCACCTTCTCGCCCCAAATACACACACAGGCACAACCCATTTTAAATGCTATGATACGCATGAGGTTCGGGGTTTTTTATTTTTATTGGTTCTGTCTGTCGTTATGGGGTAGAAGGTAAATCTTGTGTTCTGTCTCTCTCTGCAGGTCTCTATGCCTTGCGGAGAGTCCTGAAGAAACAGCCCAACCTCCCTGACAGCAAGGTGGCGGGCTTGGTGAAGATCACCCTGAATGATTTCTTACAGGGGATGAGTGACATCAGGCCCAGTGCCATGAGAGAGGTTGCAGTCGATGTCCCAAATGTAAGTCATTCGTCTCCTCGTTCTGTCCACAGTGTTGGAATTAAACTCTGAAGGGAGCTGATACTCCAGGGGAACTACCTTCCTAGGCTGAACTTCAAAATATTTTTTCAATTGAAAATTTTTTGGAGATAATTGTAGATTCAGTGCAGTTGTAAGAAATACTGCAGGGAGAGCCTGCGTGTGCTGTGCCCAATTTCCTCCGGGGTAACATCTTGCAGAACTACGGTGCAGTGTCACCGCGGGCTACTGGACTGATGTCATCAGCATCCCGTTCAGATTTCCCCAGTGCTGCCTGTTTGTGTGTGTGCATTCAATCCTGTGCACATGGTTTCATTACATGTAAAGGTTGTGTGTCCATCGCCAGAATCGAGGTGCCAAATAGTTCCATCACCGCCATGGTCCCTCGCATTGCCCCTTTGCAACCACAGCTACCTTGTTCCTGCGCTCATTTCTAGAATTCTGTCTGTTCAGAATTACACAGTATGCAGCTGTTTGAGAGTAGTTTTTTCACTTAGCGTAATTCCCTGGAGATTAATCCAACTCGTTTTGTGTGTCAGTTCATTCCCTTCTATTGCGTCTGTTCCGTGGTCTGTATGTACCGTAGTTTGACCGTTCACCTGTGAAGGTCATCTAGGCTCTTTTTACTTTGGGCCACTGTGAACATTCTCGTGCAGGTTTTGTGCAAATATAAATTTTCGTTTCTTTAGAATAAATGCCTGAGTGCAGTTGCTCTCTAGTGTACTAATTGCATGTTTAGTTTTATAAGAAAATGTCAACTAGGCTAATTTTAGAATCAAAATACCCTCTCACGAATGATGTGTGACGTTTCCTGGGTTCTGTCGCATGTCCTTCATCATCGACAGTCCTTGCAGAGTCCCCAGTCAGATCGCTGCTAGGGGAACAGTAGCCGCCTTTTATGCGTGGGTCATCTCTTATGTCCCCCATGTCCCAGTGGGCCTAACTTTTGGGGAAAAAAATGACCTTATAGTTTTCTTTGAATGTATTAATTTTTCTAGAAAGTGCACGTGGAAACAAAGCATTGTGACATGTCCTTTGCCATATCGAGGCAGAGGTGGGCTCAGAAGCCCGCTTGACCATAAGGGAGCGTCTGTGTCTCCGTAGCTTCGGGGAAGTTCACAGGTCCCTCTGTCTGTTTTAGGAGAGCTGTCGGAAGGGTGGGGTTTTGTGACTGTTGTTTCTCTTTGCCTTTATAATGTTGCCCCTTTTCATTTTCTCGTTTGAGGTGGCCTGGGTGATTCTGAGACACTCTTATAAAATCTTTAACTTTACAGGAATTTGAAAACTTAGAGCCTTGTTAGAGTCAGGCATAGTTTTGAACGCTTTGCTTCATTGTGTGTAGACCTGTCAGTACTCAGTTCTCATGGTCATTAACGAATGTCTTTTAATTGTTATAAGCTAAAAACAAAAAACAAAAAAACGAGGACTCAAAAATCAAGGGAATAGACTAATAAAAAAATAAATAACACTTGGATAAATTTTAATGTCCCCCCCCAAAATAATTAAATAAAAGTGACTTTTCCTTGAAAAATGTGTTTTATGGTCAAATATGTTTGGAAAATGATGGTTTAGATAAAATCAACCATTTCTTGGCTATAGGACTTCTTGGGTCTTTTAATATGCTGATATATATCATGAAGGGTCAAAAGAAAGTTGTTTTGGAAACTTATTTGGTTGACGACCATGTGGAGCAGAGACCTTCTGCAGTTTGCAGTGTGGTAGATTGCAAAAAAAATGACCACACATTCTTCCCGTCACTGTGTGTTTGCCCTTTTGCATTGCATCTTTGTAGCTCCTACCATAAGAGAGATGGAATCAAGTTTTCTACTCTTTGAATCTGTACTTGACCTTGTAAGTTGCTTTGCCCTTTAGGATATTTACAGTCAGGATGCAAGCAGTCTTAAGAGCACTGGGGCTTGCCTTCTTGCTGCTCTTCAAAACCCTTCATTAGCCATGTTAAGCAATCTCTACCAGCTTCCTAGAGGATGAGAGACCGTATGGAGTAGAGATGAGCCCTCCTACCCGAGCTTCCCTCAGTCCCGCCGTCCTGCCAGTTGTCAGATGAGCCACTAGTCAAAGTTTGCCAGGACAGGAAGAACCACCCAGTAAACCCTCAGAATTGTCAGAAATAATAAATGTTTGTTGTTTTGAGCCACTAAATTTTGGGGTAGTTAGCAAAAGCTAAGTGATGGAAACACTGGTTAACTTCTTATAGAACACAGTTGTTTTGTAAATTTAGGCAGGACAACAGTGCCCTAGAGACAGGAATATCCCCAAGGACTAGCTAGCTGCTAGTTGAGGCTACTTGATGTGGTTTTGAATTCTTTTTGAAACACTTTCAAATTCACTACTGAACTTATGGCCTACCTTCAGGGTTTTTCAGAAGCTCTATAGCAAAACATGCTAATTTAGTAAGAAACAATTGACAGATGAAGTTATGGAATAATGAATGATTGATGTTGGGTTAGTAGAAATTTTTCATTTCTTTGGAATTTATGGTCTAAAGTTTGGGCCCATTGTTATGACTTCCTTTATTTGCAGTATTTATCTGTACTTTATTGGCTGCTGTTGCATTGTCAGGTAGATGCCTAGCCAGCACATTCCACATGTGAAAATTTCAGGTGATAGAGTTATAAACCAACTACACCATCCAAAAACTCTTTAATATTTAAAAAGTTTAGGAACTAGGGAAACATACAGTAAGGTTTTAAACTTGAAGTTACTGCCAGTGGAGAATGTGTTTAAACAGTGGCTGTCAACTCTTGGAATTGCTAAACTGATTTATTCATCACAGGAACCAGTACTACAACCACATTTTTAATTGCTATAATGAAAGATTTTTTTTTCTGTATTTTCTTTTGATATAGTATTTACAGCCCATGGACTTGCGCCATTTTCCACTTGGCACTTCAGTATTTGGCCACAGGCCACGGTGTCCTCTGATGTTACTTGAGCTCCGGAGTGATTAGCCCTGGTCAGAGTACTTTCTTATATTGCTTTTTATGCTCACTTCAGATTGTAAAAAATCTCCTGAGAAGTCAACATTTCTATAATTGGGTTCCTAAACTTCACTCTTCTGATTCCTGGCTACCACATCTACAAAAACATCTCCAAATTATTTCTGCAAAAATTTAATACTTATTTTGCTATAGAAAACCTGTTTCAAGGAGCTAGTTAATTGTGAACGTTTTTTTAATAGTAAATTGAGCATTCAACATCTTTCGAGAAAAGATTTTAGTGTGAAATTAAAACCTTGAACTCACACTTGCCTAGTTATATTTAAGTTCGAAAGAAATGTCTTAAGGTGGGAATGTTGCCAATTATAATATAATACATTATTAATTTCAGGAGACTGTAAGTATTAGCCACTTACTTAAATTAATGTTTCCCTTTTTTGGATGTTCTGAAATGGTGATTATACCACTTGGTATATTAAAAGTCAGATGTATTTTACCATTAATTAGTGATTAAAGTCAAACGTATTTCTTTACCGCAGGAATCCTTAGACTCTTTGAATGTGCTAATACGCATTGTGAAATTTCAGTGTTTCACCCAGAGATTACAAATGTTAATATTTAAACAAAATATCAAATAGATTTTAAGATTTTTATAGTTTTTTTTTTTCCTGTGGCTATAGATATTTTAATATAGTTAATCTTAGGGTATAGTTTTAGATTCTGCCTTTTTCACTTAAAATTATATGGTAAAGATTTTACTTTAAAATTTATCGGCTAACATCTTTTTAATAACCACACAATAGACTGTTATGTGGATAAACTGTAATCATTTTATCCTTCCATTCTCAAATATTTTCGTTATTTCTATTTTTCTCTAAAATGATGATAAACATATTTGTGTCCAAATCTTTGCATTTATCTTCCTATGAGTGGACTTACCAGACTAAAATATGTGATTTTTAAAGCTCGTGGCAAATATCGTGGTTTTTTAAAAAAAAAATATTCTAATTTATAATCATGTGATAAAAATTTAAAATTACCAAGAGCTTAAGCAAAATCTTATTTTATTTTCGCTTTAGTCTTTTTCTGCTTTCCACTACAGTTTATTTTCTTGATTCAAAAGATCTTTAAAATGGGGAATAATACTGGATAATCTTAAGGTGAATGGAGATTTTAAAAAATAAAGTGAAAAATAACTATCAATTATATATCTTCTCTTTTCTATAAAAACGTTAAATTTTTAGGTAAAGGATGTAGCTGGATGGTTTTTTAATGGATTTTTAAATTTCATGAGAGCAGAAGTTCTTATTTGTATTCTTAGTACTTAGTATGAGACTAGCACTTAGAGATGTTCAGTCAATATTTGAGGGAATGAGTACAAAGCATTTCAGATATATCTAAAAAGTGTATGTTATCTTTCTTTACCAAAGTACAACATAATTGTTACCCACATGTAACATTTTTCAGATTTTTCAGATTTTCTAAAGCAGCTGATTTCTTTAGTGAATTTTAACCCTTACTATTTGTTCAGTGAATTTAACATTTTTGGAATTAAGTGTCTATAATGGTGCTAAGCTATCTACTGTGGAAGGGTATAGCATCGTCCTTCATATTTTCTGCAGAAACATGTTGTTTCTTTAATGTACAATTCAAGGTAGTCATTTTATTAAGGTAAACAAAGAACAATACAGTGCTTTTTATATGTCTTTATATGTTATCTTTGCAGTAGGTTATTTTATATTATACACTATAGTAATTATCACTGATAAATGGCATTCTTAACCAAATACTCAAAAATTGCCATCAAGTTTAATTCATTTATGCATCTTAAACCCAGGCTTTCCATATTCTATTTTATATAATTTTAGATGGTGCCTTATTATTTGCGAATAATCCATCTTTATACTTTTTATATTGTCTTCGGATTACAGTTTTTAGGATTTGGACATTTGGTTCAGAATAAGCTAAAAGCCAATAAAAAGATAGGACTCTACCTTCCCATGAACCCACTTTCGTCACGTGAAC